TTATTATATACTATAAATAAAAAATATTTAAAAAAATAAAGATCAAACAAATTGGACTACTTAAAATGAAACTCTTATATATAAAACCGTTCTTTACATTGTCAAATTCGTGCGATCTAAACCACCTTATACGCATTTGATTTTAAAGATCTTAAAGATCTTAAAAGATTTCAAAGTGTCTTACTACTTTAAAAAATTTTTATAATAAAACCCGGGTCAAACAGGTAACCCGTGACCCAGGTGGACCTGTCAATCAACCTGGGTGACCCGCGGGTTCACTCGTCAGGTGACCCGGGTCGCATTTTTTTGAACGGGTTATATCACTATATATATGCTGTGTTTTTGAATCCAGCAAAATATTAACACTTCAGTAAGATTTTTAAAATATGAGGAAAATTCTCCATTAATAGATAGCATTTCTTCAATATTTAATGCTTCGTCAATAATTTTATCAGATTCTTCACTCAGCGTTTCTGTTGTAGAATCTATTGACATTTCATCAAATACTTCACTGTCAAATTCTTTATTGTCAAATGCTTTACTGTCAAATTTTTCACTGCCAAATGCTTCATCGTCAAATACTTCATCATCAAATTCTTTATCATCAAATTCTTCATCATCAAATTCTTTATCATCATCAAATACTTCTCTATTAAATGCTTTGCCATTGGACTCTTTACTAAACAAATCTTCATTTGGTATTACATATCCAGGTTCTATATTATTTGATATCTTAATGTTCATTCTTTCATAATTGGATTCTTCATTAGTGTGTTTTGCATTGTTCAAATGTGAGTTAGTTGTTTTGCATAGGCGTCTTATATAATTTTGATGTTGTTTATGGAAGACATAGCGATTGTGAAACATTGTAAAAATTTGAAAGATTAAAAAAAAAAAAAAAAAAAAAGAGCAAGAAAAAGGATATTTATTGTAAAATATTATCATCTGGATTTTGAATTTAAAGCCCAGAACCTATCCCTTAAATTGTAACACAGACAAATTTGCCTGTGTTTTTATTAAAAAGTTTAATTTTTTTAATAAAAACTTAT